TTGTTGGGGGCGATATGCTGACTCTGTAAACCGCTTAGAGAGGGCTGAAAGCCCTATGAAGCGGTATATAAGTCTAACTGCTATTGCTATTGCTAAAATCTGGCTTGTTTGTTGTGCTTGCTTGTTCCCTCCCTCCAAGAATGTACAATCAACTTAACCACCGCTGAGAATCTTGCCTCTTGAAGGCCACAGTCTGGGCATCACAGTCCTGAATTCCCTAGCTCAGGGGTATCAAACTCAATTTCACCGAGGGCCGCGTCAGGGTTGGGTTTGATCTCGGCGGGCCGGGGCAGGCATTGCCAGCTCGACAACACTCCTGTTGTGGGTTCCTGTATGGGCCAGAGGGCTCTGCCAGTGAAATCGAGCTCCCAGGCTCTATTTCCAGCTGTGACAGCCTCCTGCAGCAACCTTCTGCCAGTGAAAAAGGGCCCCAGGAGTGCCACATACAGCCCTCCTGAAGTCTGTTTTAGGCTGCGACAGCCTCCTGCAACCCTCTGCCAGCGAAAAAGGTGCTGCAGGAGTGCCACATGCAGCCCTCCTGAACTCTGTTTTAGGCTGCGACAGCCTTCTGCAACCCTCTGCCAGTGAAAAAGGGCCCCAGGAGTGCCACATGCAGCCCTCCTGAACTCAGTTTTAGGCTGCAACAGCCTCCTGCAATCCTCCGGAGCTCCATTTTTGCTGGCAGAGGCACCGCGAGTCAATCCTTCGCTATTTTCAGGGTGGCTGCACGGGCTGAATCCAGAGGTGGTATTCAGCCAGTTCGGACCAGTTCAGGCAAATCTCTAGCGGCAACTGCGCCCACCCGCCCAGACATAACGCTGTCCTATTTAGTCACGTTTTCAAGGCCGGGCGCACGCGCAGAAGGCGCACGTGTGAGCAAAGCACATGTGTGAAAGGCGCTCTGGCAAGAATCTGTAGAACCTGCCACTGGTCAGATTTAAGCACCCCTTGGGCCAGATCTGTCCCACGGGCCTTGAGTTGACCTAGCTGGTGGAGCCATCATCAAGGCTTCTGAAAGGACTTGAAGGACCCACCTATCTGACATGAGCCCAGTTAAGGGAGGGATGACATTTTGACGTGGATGAAACCACGGGAAAGATAAGAATATTCCAGGCAGGGATCCAGAATGGCGACAACGGATAATGACTGGCTTTGTTTTAGATTTAAGAAAAACATCAGAGCAACGTTGTTGACGTGGCTTTGAGGTGCTTCATTTTCAATGGGCGGGTCGATCACTCGGGATTTGCGAGAGATTCAAATGGTTGATTTAGTCCTGATGAAATGTTATCATTTCATTCATGGGGAAACTGGGAAAACCAAAGGGACAGCTTAGCCTGCCCCTTCTTCTAAGTCCAAGAGGAACATCAGAGAGGGTGTCATTCATTTGAGAAGCTGATACGGTCCTGTGAGGAGGACACAGTTCCGTGCCCAAAGACATTGGAACAAGGATTCTTGCGGTCAGCCAGTTCCTCCACCGTCCACCATGATGGTCCTCCTTCCTTCCCTCCTTCTTATCCTTGCTTGCCTGTCAGGATCCTTCGGCCAANTCTTCTTCTTCTTCTTCTTCTTCTTCTTCTTCTTCTTCTTCTTCTTCTTCTTCTTCTTCTTCTCCTTCTCCTTCTCCTTCTCCTTCTCCTTCTCCACCTTCACCTTCACCTCCTCCTCCTCCTTTTCTGTATTCGGTTTTTTTCTCTCTTCTCTTCTCTCCTCCTCTCTTCCCCTATTCTCTTATTCTTATTCTATTCCTGGTTTGGATGTTTCTGGATCCAAAATAAAAAGTGTTTGGGGCACCAAAATCATCACCCTGTCCCTTGTCAAAACAGATGGCGGGGGGGAACTTGTCAGAAAGCTTTTCCACCTTACTTCCTCAGGGCTCAAACGCCTCTTATCTGTCCATTGTGTTGCTAGCAGCTCCCCTTCGCCTCCCACTTCCCGATCTTAGGAAAGGGCCCTGCTAACCGAGATGTCTTCTGTCTCCATCCAGATCTCCATAAGAAGGTCTTCATTTTCCCGGCAGCTACTAACAAGGCCTTCGTGCGTCTGAACTCCACCCTTCAGCATCCCCTGACCGACCTCACCGTCTGCCTGCGATATCACTCCCCGCTTTTCTCTTCCTTTCCCCTCTTCTCTTATGCCACCCGCTCCAAGGACAACGATTTCCTGATTTTTAAGCCCGACGACAAGAAGTATTCCGTTTACCTGGGCGGAGACAAGCTGGATTTCACAGTCCCCGTGAGGACAATTCCTGCTTGGGAGCACATCTGTGTCTCCTGGAACACCTGGGATGGGCTGGTCCATTTTTGGCGCAATGGGGAACTTCTCCCTCGCGTGGGAATGAGGAAGGGGTACAGGATCAGCCACGAGGCATCCATTATTCTGGGGCAGGAGCAGGATGAATTCGGAGGGGGTTTCGACATCCGCCAATGCTTTATGGGCGAAATGACGGAGGTCAACATGTGGTCCCGGGTGCTGACCACGGATGAGATCCAATTGGTCATGAGGGAGGAGCCAGTGCCTGACAACCTGATCAACTGGAGATCTCTCCATTACACCGCTCAGGATTACGTGCTGGTTACAAACACCAGGCCTTAAGTTTTGTCCCAAATGCGAGATCTGCGTTTTTTGAATGGGAGAAAAAAATATATGAGAGAATAGGAAAGGCCTTTAAGGCAAAAAAAATTAAATGCTTAATCTGTAGTTCTGCAAATAATTGAAGTAGATCGTGATTGATAGGCAGATGATGCAAAATCATAAGTGGGCATCCCAAATACCCTGGCAATAAAATAAGCGGTTTATTCACGATACGCTGAATGTGTCTTTTTTTCTTTTTTAATTAGCTCAAGAAAATCTGGCTTGTTTGCTTGTGCTTGCCGAGGTGGCGCAGTGGTTAGAGTGCAGTACTGCAGGCCACTTCAGCTGACTGCTATCTGCAGTTCAGCGGTTCAAATCTCACCGGCTCAGGGT